GATTGTGAGGATATCGTTAACAGAAAGTTATAAAATTCCTCATATATTCATGACAGGTGGATGAATAACATACTCGAGGTGTTGGATGGCTGGATAAGCAGTCGGCAAGTAGACCGAATTCATCCGCGAGCAGACGAAAAAGGAAGCTGGCTTTGGCTGAGAGATGGTAGGAAGCTGAATCCGAATTACCGGGGCTTCAGTGCACGAGACGAGGAAAAGTAAACGGAGAAAAGATGATTGAAACAGTAAAATAGTTGAATAATAAAGAGGTGATGAGTCTGTGTGTGTAAATCGTTGCATATCATGCTAGCCCAGACAATAACATTCGACGTTGAAGTTATCATCATCCCAAATACAAATGCCCTCAGCCTACAACTTCCATGAGATAAGTGTAGAGTGCGGTAGCAAGCAAATTTAGGCCAAGTGATACTGACTGTCGAGTGTAAATGAGTCAAGATACCTTCCTCGTCTTACATTGCGTACCAATTCTGTTGCCAGCACGTTTGCACATGATAGTTGAGTTTAATCGTTCGTCGGTTTCGTCGCGTCAAAAGCCGAGCAAAGGTTCAGTTCGAATTGCGATGAGCGATTTGTAGGCACTAGTTCAGGGCATTTAAAAAAGAGCGAGTCAAAGGAATGTCACTGAGCTCCCATACGTTATGTTACAGACACAGTCTCTGCAGCGATGCATGAATAAACAACACTTGGTAAGAGAAATAAATCAAGAATAGTAGCCTGATGGAGTCGTCAAACTTCCTGAATCGGCTTATTTAACAAGGCATTTTGCGGTAAATTATTTACTGTCCTTTGCGTGTTTATGACAATATGAGAGAAAGTAGCAAGACGCGTTTGATATCACCATAACTGACTATCCCCTATCGTTAATGTGCAATGTTGACTGGCAAAAATTCGCTATCATATGAGGTTACAAGAGTGTGTAGATACGAAAGCTTATGTTAGTCTGGTTACTGGAGACCAAATCAAAATTCAGGCCAATTAATCCGCCTCCGTCTGTTCATAAATCTCATTTGGATGCATCTGGATGATTCAATTCCTAAATTCAGGATGCTTAGCAAACCTCCGATCTCATAGATTATGTCATGATAATTCCATACGACTGCTAAGCTAATTATCAATAAATATGCTCTAAAACCTCTTGAAACCAAGGCATAACCAACTAAAGTACCATAATGTAGCTAAGCACTGTTACTGTTTAACAACCCATTCTATTGGAAACCATGAAATCGGCATCTCGTTTAATGCTTAATTGTTGTTCTGGACTAGCACTTCTCCCGACTCTTCCAATATCAGGTGACGATGATTGATAGGTGTGAGAGAAGTTGGCATTTTGCAAGCATGGACTTTGTAAAATCCAACATAACCAGATGATTAGGGAAGGTAGGAATTTGACTAGATTACTGCAGAGTTTCTATTTGTTAAAGTCGATTTGGTAGTCACTGCACACAATACCATACACCAAACGATATTTCTGTTGTGTTAAAAGGGTATCAAATTGACATGACAGGTATTCTTAATAACTGTGCTATAAGTCGACAATTGATGCCAAAAAGCATAAATGACGATCTGTAAATTTAGGGAACACGAAAACTTGCATTGTTGCTTCACATGTCATCTAGTCTTGTGTCAACTATTGCATGTATAAGTTAACTTTGGCCAAACAGGAAGCTGGGGTGGAGATTGACGTGGCGAGTGAAGATGAATGGTGAAATGAATACCAACACTGGGGAGTCACTCACTCTGCTGGAGTAACCGAGGAGAGATGAGCCATCTTTGGCACCTGTGAATCCAGACAACATGTGAGAAGAAGACGACAAAGGCCAGTACAAATGACACGCAGACAGTCGAAAGCCGTAGCGACCGGACCGGCTAACTCTCGAGCAGGCGGAAAAGGGCGAGAAGTAGAGGCTGGACGCCGTGATAGAGGCGGCAGTAGGCCGGAGGACCAAGAAGTTCCCGGCTGGTTGGGACCAGCAAAGAGGCCACGAAAGACTTCGTAATGCCTCTTTCCCGAGGCAGAAGGGTTGCCGTGTGTGCCAACACCGCTGGAGACAGTGACGATGAAAGTGGGTAGAAGTTCGGCCAGTAGGGAGGTGGTGCTGGAGGAGATGGGGCTATTGAAAAGGCGTAGATTCTAGATTCAAGTGAAAAGAGACATTCATGTCAGGAGGATGATGAAAGTTGAGAAAATAAGTGTTGATAAATTATCAGTCGTATCTGACGCCAAAACTGTGTAATAGGTGATCAGAAAGATGTAATATTTGAATGATACTGACTAATAATAATAATAATAATAATAATAATAATAATAATAATAATAATAATAATAATAATAATAATAA